CATTTTTAAACAATTTTTTCTTAGATTCATTTTCTGAAATGACATTAAAAAACACCAAAAACTAAACAAACAAACATAGCAATGGTTTCGAAGATGTTACCCAGGACCACATTCTGAGACTGAAGTAATTAATGATGGGTTAGGGGGAAACATTTGGTAAGATCCAGCAACATACACAAGATGTTTTGAAAGCTGTTTGCTGCATCTGCACGAAGAAAACTTTTTTTTCCTCTGTTATTTGCTACCTAGTAACGATCACTATCATAAATATAAAGAAAGTTTAAGCAACAGCAAGGGTTCAAATCCTGGAAGGAACAACATACCAGAAAAAAAATCCAAGAGATTTTAAGGGTAATTTGACAACAAAAATAAACCATATGTTTCGTTTTGAAGAAAATCACGTTATCACTAAGAACAAAAGCAGTATCGCAGGTAGAAGACGTGAATATTGAAGAAGACCTAAGGTGATGATTGCAGCTGAAGACACAGGGGAAGACTTTTTTTTTTTTTAAACTCACACCACCGGCATAAAGTTATTTTGAAGATCCCTTGAGACATACATTAAAATGACTGGATAATTTTGGAAATCTGCCTTTTGAGGAAGTAGAAAGAAGATGACATAGCAATATTGCAAACAGTTGATCAAAAAGTTTCCAACTTTGAAGCCCAAGAGAAAACTGAGAATAAAAGTAGGATAAGATGCTCTAGTTGCACAATATTTTGTTCATTGCTTTGCCAAATGGACCGAGGACTCTTTTACCATTAGAATATGACAGAGAAGATAAGTCAGATATAGGTGGTCCTGACTTTCCCAAAGTTTCCAGCCAGGACAACTAATGTGTTTTAAGCCGTCACTGGAGGGGGCAGCATGAGGCCTCCTGAGGACACGCCAGGTCAGTTGTATCTCATGGCCCGCGTAGCTGAAGGTTCAAGGCTCTGTTCAGATCTCTGCACGCTGTTCCCACCATCCCCATGGACTGAGGCATAAACATGCAAACTATCTATGTTACGCCTCATAAAAGAAATAATTTTTAAACCATTTTGGCCGTTGGCTTACATTTGCAGGCCAGATTGCTTTTTCTCTTTCCATCTCCTGCCGTGCTGATGGAGATCCACGTCAGAACAGCACTTTTCCCCAGCCCGGACCTTGGGCAGCACTTTCCCTCGCCTTTGTTCAATCAGAAATATCACACTGTGAATCCATTTTAGCTAAAAGGGGCATGACACAATGCAGTCCGAGAAGCGAGGAGGTAGAGCCAGGTCCACAGTTTCCCTCTTTTGGCGAATGTGTGACCAGTTTAACCTCCCACGGAGATTTAGCTGCCGTTCCAAATGAATTTCACCTTCTGCAGCAGAAATACTTGTGTATTTGTGAGCACTGGGGAAGAAAAGTAAAATCTCTCATGCTTTACAAAGATGAACAAGTTACAATTCCATATTTCCACAGAACCTTCCAAAGTCCACTGATTTTACCCCACAAAAATCATAGTAGAATGGTTTGGGTTGGAAGGGACCTTCAAGATCATCTAGTTCCAACCCCCCTGCCCTGGGCAGGGACACCTCCCACCAGCCCAGGTTGCTCAAAGCCCCGTCCAGCCTGGCTTTGAATGCCTCCAGGGATGGGGCAGCCACAGCTTCTCTGGGCAACCTGGGCCAGTGCCTCACCACCACCAGGGTAAAGAATTTCTTCCTAATATCTAAACTGAAAGAGGGGAAATTTAGATTAAAACCATTACCCCTCATCCTATCACTACACTCCCTGATAGAGAGTCCCTCCCCATCTTTCCTGTAGGACGCCTTTAGGTACTGCAAAAATCAGATCTTTAAGGTTTTTATTGGACACCTGCATGAGGACTGCTTTTCAAGGTTTCACTCCCCTATTGTGCCTGACCTCAGCAAGGACAACAAAGACATTGTTTGGTCCTCCTGGTTTTCTGCTTTGGCCCAAACATGACCCTGGACCCTGTCTCCTCACTCATTTCTACCAGGTGACATTACTTAACGATGCCCCAGAAAAGCCACCCAGAGGAAAGAAGTCTCTCTCATTTGAAGAGGGAAAAGGCCAACAGTACCACGGGACTCTTGTTAAGGAAGCAAAACCAAGATAAAATGACATTGGAGATAAGACAAATAAGAAAGAGGTGAAAATAGAGACAACTGAAAAATATTAAAAGTCATCAAGATGAAGGCAAAACAAAGAGCAACCCAAGGAGTTATCGCTTGTGTGAAATGTCTTTTATACACTTAGAAACTGGACCTCTGCACATCCAAAATCCGCAGAGGAATCAGGTGAGTCAGAAGGAACCTTTTATCAGTGCTACACTAAGTTTACATCAAGTAGGCAGAAAAATAACCTTTGAAACTGAAGTCCTATTCATCATTTAAAACCAAATGCAGTATTGCTCCTGTTACACTCAATGCTGCTTCTAATACAGTGGTTTGGACTCACTTTATTGGCTTACAAGTTCATTTTTATTCTGATCAGATTCACTGATAGACACCGCTGTGCTTCCTCGTCTTGTCGAAAGAACACAAGACCAAGACAAACTCAAGGCTGACATTTCAGTACATAATAGGACATTTATCATTCAAAAGCAAACATTTTGTTTTAAAAATATCCCAGCTAGCATCCTGCGGCAGGTAAAAAACCTTATAAGTTTGGTGAAAAAAACCACCAATATAAAAGAGACTACTTCATGAAAAATTCCTATTTTTCCCCCCAACCCTGAAGGTAATTGCTTTAAGCACTGCATAAATTAAAATTCAGTAACACTGAACTTAACCTAGATGGTTACTTTACATAACTTAGAAGCAATGAATAACAGCAATCTGCAGAACTACACAAATTATAGGACAGTCATTTTATGACTGTTCCAAAAGTAATGACCTCTTTAAATAAACTCAAGTTGCACTTCTTTTGTCTTACCGGATACAAGCTAACATTTCCCTCTTTCTATTATTTTTCAAATAGTTCATGAGGCATTCTGTTATCATTTCTCATAATTTTTGGTCAGGCTTTTCCCTCCCTCTAGGCATGCAATTATATCATTAACCCAGACAGACATACCAAACTAATTCATGCACAACAAGAAGTATAACTTTTCCTTGAGTATTAGTACACCCACATAAATAATTAAGAATTCCAGCTTGCTGAACTATCGTCTAGGGAATAAAGATCACCAAGAGAAGAGATCAAGTGAAATTTATTTATTTAGCAGAATGAAACAGAGGCCTAAGGGAATATTTTCACCATCTATGAAGATGTTAGAAGAGACACAGGAAAAAAAGAATGTTTATACAGGTGTCCTTGTGAATTAGGACCTAAACTGGCCATGATTTAATGTAAAGAAGGTTAGAAAAGCTAGTTTTTGAGAGACTTCCCCTAAGGGTCAATAAAGGCATAAAATAAATACATAAAATTACAGTGGAGCTTAACGAAAGTTATGAATGGGATATAAAGCAGTTATAGATAATACATTCCCAACATTCTTGATCCATAAAGCACAGATGGTATGACCAAAACTTTCCATAGTCTGTATTAATGAGCATGTTTACCCTTTAATTTAATGTGTTTACTCAGAGCTGTTATCAATAGCTTTTTTTCACTGCATTACGAAGACCCAAAGCTGGCATCAGCCAACTTGCATTTAAAAACAGCAGCCAAAAGGAAAGCATAATGTTACCGTGCCGTACCCCCTTAAAAATCTCTGTCCTCCACTTAATTGCAATGACCCTAAAGTAATAAGCATTTCCTGGAACATACAAAGTATTCTTTCTTGACGAGGACAGAATATATTTGTTTCCCAAATTAGGTGGAACCCTACAGATGTTGGCATTAAGTGTACTGATGGGAATCATGATCATCTGTCAGAAAAATGTATAAATCCTTTGGGCTCTATAACAAGTTGACGGCATTCTTGTGAAATATTAACTAGGCACAATGCAGACATTGACATTTAACTCTATTTCCACTGGATTTTTTTCCCGACTCATCATTGCTCTCTCCAGTTTTCTCAGGCTCCGTATTTTATAGAAATGACCATATGTTTAGATTTGTATTTGATGACATAATTGCAAAACTGCAGCGAGCAAGCAGCTAGAGCTCGGCATGTGCCCCGTGTTATGGCCACAGAGCTGAAGAAACCTTCCGCAATGCAGTGAAAGCCACATTAACAACTTCCAAATCTTAGCGAGGAAATGGGTATTTATATTGTCAGCTATAGTAGAAGCATGAAACCAGGCAGCCCTAAATATAAGCTAGGTCCCTCAGTTACTTTTACAAAAGTAATAGCGGAAACAGTAAATTTGAATCTGTCCAAGTTGCTGGTTTCTGTGGAGAAGAAGAGTTGGCCTTTCTGTAGATCTATCATTGTTTGTAGTACAGCAGTATGGTAAGACAGACACTTCATGAATGTTTTATGAAGTTGTGGGTGGTAGAAAACGGCTTCTTGCTCAAAAGAGCAAAATTAGAGTTGGAATCTTTTTCTCGTCAAGAATTCCTTCACGAACCCAAGGACCCTCGTCTTCATTCAGAGTTTCACTAGAAGCGGTATGTTTTCCATGCAGATGCAAGATGTTTCGCTTTTTGACAAACAGGCTTTTTTTCTGATTAAGTGCACTTAATTGAAAAAAAAATTCCAACCAGGAACTCCTGCAACACTCGAACGAGAACGTGCTGAAGGTACATCAGCATGAGATGGGCATGGGGCAGGGGGGGATGTAAGAATAACTGCAAGTATCTGTCCTGCTGTCTCTTGTGCAACTCATTAGATCATCCCTCCGTAAGAGCTCCAGAAGATAACAAGTCATCAAACGCAGGACAGTATTTCACTCTTGAATCACAACACAGCTTTCTAAGGCTTTCAGCTCTTGACAATCTTAGCTGAGGATGTAAATGTAGTATTTTCAAGGCACTGAAGAAGCCCTGAGCACTTTTGCCCTCTTCAGGTTGCTCTCCAAACTATAAAAGCGGAACAAACTAACTGAAATTGAGACGTTACCTGAAACCCTCGACTGCAGCTGCACATTGCCTCCCACCGACTTCAAGGCTCTGTCCACGCACCTGTATATGTACCGGCATGGGTCGGATCTGCCCTGCACTGCGCTACTGAAATCCTGGCCTGATGGAAGAAGACCACCACTGAACTGAACAGTGCACAATTCCACACACACAGGAGAGAAAAAAAAAAAAAAAAAAAGAAGTGAAGTGCCTGTACAAATCTGTAGTATTTCCTTGGACACAACTCCTATCTGGGCGACGTTTTTATCGGTCTGAGATCCACAGCACTACTTCGGTACCAAACCTCTTTTGTATAGATCAGTCATACACTTATAAGCCACGTAAGGAGTAAACATCATATAGGCAGTAAACAAATAAAGCGGAGTTGGCCAGGGAAGCAATCGGAAACTATTCTCTCACGATACACACTGATGTGGCCATGGAAGTGCGTTCCAAAGCCAGGATAACGGCATCGGGGGGTTCTGTGGGCGCAGTGGCATGCCAGCCTTTGGGAGCTGGGGACCCTCGGCCACCTCCGTGCTGTGCCAGAGGCATGGGCTTGCGCATCAGGTCCCTCCAAACAGGAGAGAGGTCCATGTGGTACTTGGAGCGCTTCCAAACTTTTGCTTGAATTGCTTCTCTTTTTCTGCATTTTTAATTTCTAAAACTGCTAATAGGCTTTAAGTTTACAACCAAAACCAAAGTAAGCATTTAACTTTACTAGTGTTTTTTAAAGTTTCTTTATACACTAGACAAGGAAATGCCTGATTTTCTTCAAATGCCACAGAAAGCCAAACTTCAAAGTGTTTCATGGAACAAGACTTGTGTCCTCCGCATTCTTCTAATCTGAATATTAAAGTAATTAAAACTCATCCAATGGAGCTAATTATCATTTCAACAGAAGCAGAGCCAAGATTCAAGAAGGGAAGTGCTATTAAAAAAAAAACCCAAACATACAATCAAAAAAACTTGTACTCTCTAGAAAAACATAATTGGTCTAACTCGATATAGATGTACATTAGTTCTTGGATGCAAAAAGCAAAGCTTGATTACAGCAGCAGAGAAAGCTACCATGATTATCCTAATTAAAAATTTGCCAAGTTATTTATGGTGTAATACAAGAAAATGACATTCATTATCCTATAAACTATTCAACAAACCATTAAGCACTGTAATAAAATCAATTGGCAAAGAGAGGTACAATTATATTTATACTCGTGTAAACTCCTTAGTGAACTAAAACCAAAGCATCACTCAGTGCCAGTATTCTTTGCACAAGCAGTGCAAAGGTGTTTGAGAGATTCAGAAATATAAAGGTATCTCCCAATTAACATGCTAACAGTTGTTTAATCAGTTTGGCTACGGAATTGGAAGCTATAACCAATTACACATCAGGTTTGCCGAGCATTGAGTTCAGAAAAAGAAAAAGTTAAAAAAGCAGTTACCGCTCAACAAAACACAAATAGAAGTCTAAAACTATTTTACCACCTTTTAAAATGTGTTGATTTATTCTTAATTAACTGATGAAGCAGCATTCTGAAGTCTTTCTATCACTACACACACAATTAACTCATAAGCAATCAAGGAAATTAGAGGAAAATTAGAAACAGGATTGTCATAAAGCGTTGATCATCTACACCTGCAATACACATCTGCTGGAATTTAACTTGCATAATGAAACAACTGGACCAGTCTCCCCCTTTTTTTTTTTTTTTTTTTAATATTTTAAGCACAACACTGTCCACAATCTGAACTGTTTAAGTTAAAGAAAATAATTGCCCTATAGGTCAACCTTTCTGATTCACAGTAACAGTCAAAACCAATTTAGATGAACTGGAACACATTTCACAAAAGTGGAAGTGAATACGCCATAATTTGCCAACACCTTTTCAGCGTCAATCCTATTTAAGCCCATTTAGAAAAGCATTACCTTACTATCCTATCAGTTCTCCCGCCCTATCAGTTTCTCAGGCTAGAAAATAAAAATTCATCACCCTTATCTCTATCAGCATGTCCTACATCAGCTCCCACACCCAGCCCGGGACTGACCTTTGCCTACGCTCGCTGAAGGCTCCTACCTGCCGGGGTCTGCTTCACATCAGCTAAGCTGGAGAGTAATCTCGCATCCATTCATTTGGCATAAAGTGCAATAAAATATTTTTTTTTTTTTTTCCCCAAGCTCAAAGGTTGGTTAAGCACCTGCAAAAACAAAATGAAGTTCTGTGGGTTTGCCAACACACATCTATTTCGGAGAAGCAATTAATGTCTCTGAGGTAGTGTGTTAGTGCAAGGGGAACTCTGCGCTTTGATCTCATTAGTGAGAATGAATCACGACTGGAATTCACCAGGGTGAAGAAAACCGGGAGACTAAGCTCGCATCTATCTCTCTTACTGCAGAAAAAAGAGAGACTGTAACTAGGACTTCTTCGCAATAATGTGCATTAGTCTGCAGATTTATCCCTTCATCTCCTAAAATGACAAATAAAATACAAACGTAGCTATATTTTATCATTTCTAAGTAGCTTATCTTTTCCTCCTTTTTCCAAGAGATCTTTGTCAACTTCCATTGCCAAGAGCAAGTATAGGAAGTGTTTGTACCATATCTTATGCCTCTGAATAAGAGACGCAAATTAGTTGCGGATACTACTAAAAACCCCAACCCTCTTACACACACTTGCTAGAGACTTCGAGAGGAGCATTACCTCAAGTGTGAGTTCAACTTACAAAATCCGTTAGTTACACAAGTAAATCTAATACCCCGTACTGACGGTGTAAGGCACCACAACCGCTGGCTCTCCCCACGCTCCGCCGTGTCCCCCTGCCCGTACCCAACGCGGTACCAACCGCCGGCCCTCGCTGGCGGCCAGGCTGAGAGGCAGTGCTGAGCAGAAGGATGGCTGGAAATCTGCAGCCGAAGCTCGCAGAAACAGCTGTTTTCTCCCTGGTAATGTAGAAACTAAGTTTCACATCACTTTCTCTCTCCCGAGAAATACAAGCAATGAAAAATCCAGTTCATCCCTCCGCATTCGGTCTCCAGTTGAGAAAAGGGACATCTGTTTGGGCTGAACAACCCCTGCCAGATGACAAACTTAAATGCACATAGATGAGCAAACACCAAATAGCAAATTTTTATGTTTTCTCTCTCTGTTATTAATATTTCTTCCTTAAAATACAGCCTGCCTTGCCCCCCCCCCCTTTTTTTTTTTTTTTTTTGTTTAAATATTCCTAGTGTCCTGCTGTAGAGTCAACACGAAGGATTTCAAGGCCAGGTTGGATGGGGCTTTGAGCAACCTGGCCTAGCAAAAGGTGTCCCTGCCCATGGCAGGGGGGTTGGAACTAGATGGCCTCTGAAGTCCCTTCCAATTCTAACCATTCTATATTTCTAATCTGTACCCATATTAGAGGGGGAAAAAAATCCCAAATCTAAAAGCAACACGCCTTCCCACTTAGTTGTGATGTCCTTCAGGTTTACAGCATAAGCAACGGTGCATACACACACCAGCAGAACAATAATTACAAAGAGGAACCATTCAGTATAAGAAATGGAGGCCCCAGATTCAGAAGTACGGTTACAAGTGAAACCAGCAGATAGCTTCAAACCCACCTGAAAGCCCCTCAGTAAAGTGGAAGGTACCCGCCACTCAGCTCCAGCGACGGTTCCCCCTTTCCTCAGTTCCCCAGCAGACGGCTCAGGCACAGGGACCCAGTTATAAATCTGTTTTCCTTCCACAGAAGTTATGGATTTTCCACTAGGAATTACTGAGCAAGTTCTTCTATTTATGTATATACGCACATTTATATTACAGCTGAGGGCAGGTGACAGAACGAAATAGTTCAGTTGGAAGGGACCTACAAAGGAGCAGGATTTGGCCCTTCAGAGGGAACCGGTGAGGCTTTTGCCATGCATTTTCCTGCCGGTATTTCAGCTTCACGGCATCTCATGCATTGACAGCGCTATTAATCTCAGCTGGAGAAATACAAGGCAATTAAAATATTAGCTTCTTCCTTATGTCCTCTGGAAATTTCAGAAAGAAGAGGAGAAAAGTTTAACCTCACTTGCTGTTCCTCCCACCAGCTTCAAACTTACATGTTTAATATCCACAGTGAATAGAAGTGAATTTCATGGCTTTATTGGACCACACTTTACAGGGCAGATACTATTCAAAGCCATGTGGGAAGATAACAAAGAAACAAATGAAGCTCCAAAAAAAAAAACAAAAACCCCACCAGAAACAGAATTAAATGTTTATTATCCTGCTTTTCCGAATTAACACAGAGTTACACAGCCTGGGACTTCAGACCCATTCGAGCAGTCCCTTGGCTGCGAAGGCAGCCAGGCAGTCGGGGTTTGCAGCACCGGATGCCACCAAGGCAAAGCTGGGAGCTGCGGAACCAAGAGGATGAATTTGGGGAATAGAGCTATGAAAAGCTAGGTTGCCTTTTTAAAAGGCCTGCTTGATTTTTAGTAGGTTTTTTGATAACACAGGATATGCAAGGAAACAAGTCCTCCATCTAAGGCAACTAAACCACGTTTCTTCTTTAGGTAAAACGCTAGAGTGGTGGCAAACATCTTTAGTTCTAAGAAATGTTGATGGCATTTTGTTTAGTATCATTGAGAGAAAAGATGAAGGGGAGGAATGTGATATGTGACAAATTCAGTGTGAGAACACATTCAGAGTGAAAAACCTCACTTCTCCAAATTCAACTTTCACTATCCAGCAGACACTCGCTATTTTTGCCAAACCTCACGTCTTGCTTTTAAACAACTGATGACCTGTTTGCAGTTGCAGCCACCAAAGGCATCGTGTAATGTTTTCTCGAACTAGATTCAGGAAAAGACTTTTATGACCTCTAAAAAATAGGACTAAGCCCCCCCCAGCACTGCCAGCACACGTTCCTCCCGTTTGCCAAACCCAATCCTGCCGACCCTTTTTAATTACTCAAGCACAAGGACAAAGAGAAGCACAACCACGTTTTCCTCTCTTTCACAATCCTACTGGAGGAGCTACTTCCCTTATCATATATATATTCCACGTTTGCTGAATATTATTCCCTTTTTTGCTTTTCCTCTTTTTAGGTTACTTCAATTTTTATTTAAATAGAAGCTAAGGATGAACAGCGTTTTGGGGTTTTTTTTTCTCCCCCAGAAAGAAGCCAGCTCTTGTTAGACATCCTTATGAAGTGACCACATTTTTCTGAAGGCTTGGTTCAGTAATGGGAACAGCTAAGGGCTGAAGTTCTTCAAAAATGTAGACCCCAAATTACCTACTGCTGTCTCTAAGCCTTCTAAAGAGATAAAGAAAATGAAGACAGGGAAAACATTTGATCTTTCATGCTATCTCCTGGTAGAAATTCCTTCCTATCTTTTAAACACATTTAAGGCAAGTCCTAGAAGTAAAAGCATATATGCAGGTGAAAGTAATTGTATGATACTGCAGAAGATCTGGCTTTGAAGAAAATTGGAATTCTTCAACGTATAAATAGGACGTGCTGCATTTTGCCTGGTTTTAATGTTCTGCAAAACTTGTGCGTGAGTAGCGAGGTTTAGTCAAAGTCACGGAAAAGGGTTATTTACTTGTACGGTCTTGTTGATACAT